TCATAAAATTGTATGTCACTCATGTTGTCAGAGTCGTGGTTAGATAATGACGAACGTGTTTCGATACCTAACTCCGATTACTGCGTACAATTTAAACGACCGGGCCACAGAGCACAGCTGGTGTTGCAATCTATCGCAAACAGAAAAACTCACATGCTGTGACTCCTCATATGCACATTACTTATCGTCAAACAAGTGGACTGGGTATTGTTAGTGATTTGGAGGACAAATGTGCGGCAGAATTGTTATTTGAAAATGGACAAACAGCGATTTTTTCGGTGGTCGTATACATTTCTTCGAATCAAACGGTTAAAAAAATTGAAGATTTCCTGCATTTTGTACTTTTACCATATACCGAAGGTGGTTCTGCTCTTTTAAAAAAAACTATCACTCGCTTCCCATGATTTTAAATGGTGATTTTAACTTGAACTTTTTTTTTCAGTTTGCCAAAACCTAAGCCGCTCATAGCTTTTTTGAATGATGAATTCAAGCTGGAAATGAATACAAATCAAAATGTTTCGACAACTAACAGTGGTACTGTTATTGACACTGTTTTTCAACGGTTTTTAAATACTTTGAAATCACATGTGTCATACTTTAGTTATCATAAGTCTATTTTTTTCCTATAAATCTCTTCCCCAAACTCAACAAGAATAATTATTTTTGATAAAAAATTGCATTACTTTTTGTGTTAATTAAATAAATTTTCATTAAAGATATAATTATTCGATAGAAAATTATTTCCTATCATACCCGATTCATTTTTTTCGGAATATAAGTTACTATTGCGTATTTACTACGATAACATATCAAATGTTACACATCATATGCGACTACTGTAAGGCCCCTTTCTTTTTTTATTAATTTTATAAATACGTTAAGGTAAAACCTAAATATTTCGGCGAAAAATTAATCATTGTATATTGTTATCATTGAAAACATTTGTTTCTTCCAATTGTTCTTTTTCAGGACAATCATCATAGATATCAAGTTTTTCTCGATCTTTTTAATGTTAAGATTAATAAAAATGTTTGGTTTTGAAAATGTTATTTTGATAATTGCAAAGCTTTCAAGAAGAATTTATTTAAAACTAAAAATACATTATTTTCCAACACATTAAATTCCTTTAAAAATTCTTCTCTTTTTTTTTTTAGTTCTTTTAAAATAAATTTCTGTACTGAATATTGACAAGTTATATCGAATTAAACACAGTCGTTCATTTATTGCTTACTAAACTGATAAAATTTTAAATAACAAAGGTCTGCATTAGCTGAAATAAAATCAATACGGTTTAAATAACATTTTAAATTCTGATAATTTTTAATAAAATGTGGTGGTTTCAAGTAATCTTGAATTATTTGGTGAATATAAATAATTTAGACCTTATACTTCAATATATATGGAATTAAATTAAGATGCTAAATTAATTAGATATACTTACATACATGTTTTTCTTGTGAAATAATAAAAGGCCTTCAAGGCATAGTTAAAAAAGAAAAAGAATTGTATTCAACAAAGTAGTTTCTCGTGATTTTCAAGTTCAACAGCGAATCAGCTGTTTTCAATTATTTGATCTCACAATGAAAAGAAGAATGTGTTAAAATGATCTCCAAAATTTATTCAATTTCATAACTCAACGTTTTGCATTATATTTGAATTCAATTAAACAATTTCTAAGAAGAAATCAGCAAAATCAGCAACTCTCTAGCTCTAGGATAATATTTTGATAACCACATCCCAGTTCTAAGTTATTTTTACAATCGAACATCAAATTAAATATTTTTCGACATCAAAAAGTATAATGTCGTTGCCAAACGATTTTACATAAAATAAACACATAAATATAATAAAATGATATGCTTGAAAAAATTAATTTATTTAAACAAAAATAACGTGACATTAATTTACAATTCTTAACAACATTTAGCATTTGAAATTATTTTCATAAAATTAATATAACATTCTTACAATCATCAAAAAATGGGATGCTCTTATTAACTTTCGCAATTTACATCACATATAAATAAAATTATATTAGTGTTAATAATAAAATAAAATAACTTAATTAAAATATTAATTGATTTACATAATTAGTTGACTTAAAAAAAGAATTTTTTATTTTAAAATCTGATTTTTCGCAAAATCAAGAAGATATCGGTCGAAATAATATATCCACCAAATTTTATTCCGAAAATTTTTAATGAGCCTTGTACTATGAATAATTTTACCCAAACGATTAATTTTTCAAACATTTAACAATTATTCTCTAACTTTTCTATAAAAGAAAAAAATGTAATAAATAGCAAAATAAATCAAGAAAGAGTGCAACTGGGATGAATAAAAGGTTTACAAAATACTTATTTCTCAATATATACAATATCTTCTTAAGTAACATTTTTTGAAAAACAGATTTTAATATGTGGCATATAAGTGAGAAAGCTAACTGCAGTGTTCGAAGATTCTTTTAATAAAAAAGCAATTGTCAAATGAAAGAAAGCTGAGGATAACTTCAAAGGAAGTAAAGTAAAAAAATTTAGATAGATAACATTCACAAAAATAAACAAGATAATACATTGCTGGCCACCGTAAATGCAACACCAAGAAAGACAAGAGATAACGCAAAAAAATTTATTTTGTAGATAACATGTTGACTTCTGGGAAGTGTGGTTCCTGCCAGAATCGGTAGCCAAAGTAGCCGCCATTGTTGAAGATCACCGCTGCCACACACCACGGCATTGGTTCAAAGAGACTTTGGATGTGTTCTTGGGGTACAGCAGACCAAGCAGCTTCCACATGTTGCCAAAATTGATCTGGTGTGGCAGCTGGGGGTGTAATCTGGGTCAATCGTTGAGCAACCATGGACCACATGTTTTCTATTGGCGAAACATCCGGAGAGCGAGCCAGCCAGGGAAGCAATTCAATCTGGTGATTGGCGAAGAACCTTTGGACAATGCGTACCATGTGTGGTCACGCATTATCCTGTTAAAATATGCCGGTGGCCAAGCCCTGAAGGTAACGAAGGACAACTGACTCCAACACCTCGGAGATGTAGCGCTGTCTGTTTAAAGTACTGGCAATGCGTACTAGAGGAGTGCGAGAGTGATATCCAATACCATCCCATACCATAATACCCGGTGCAGGATCAGTGTGATGGTCCACAACGCAGCTGTTCATCATCCTCTCTCCGCGGTGTCTCCAAACTCGAATTCAACCATTGTGGTGTTGCAGACAGATGCGTGACTCGTCAGTAAAGACAACTTCGTTCCATTCTGCCACCCACATCCTTCTTTCATTGCACCATTGGCGGTGGAGACGTCTGTGGCTCTGCGTCAAGGGTAGACCAAGCAATGAACGTCTGGAGGACAGACCACTCTGCTGTAAACGGCTTCGAATGGTACACGCAGACACTAAATGATGCGTTACAAACTCAATGTTCTGTGCTACGGTTCGTGATGTGACTGAGCGATCCGTCACTGTCATGCGCACAATTTTCCTGTCCTCAGGTGAAGTGGTGCACTGAGGTGGATGTGATCGACCACGTCGGTCCGTCATACCCTCCTGCATCCAGCGGTCACATATGCACATTACTGTTGTTTGGTTTCGTCCAACACGACTACCGATTAGCTTGAAAGATAATCCGCAATCTCGGTAGGCCACTATCGAACTGTCGAACTTGGATACTTAATCAAAAGCTGATCGCTGTTTTCTACGAGACATAACTGATCGTCTTTTGAAAAAGCCACAAGAAAAACACAATTTCCGATCTTGAAATCGTCGAAATATCCAATCCTTAAATAACGCTTTGAGGTGGCGCCACAGGCGCGCGTGATGTGTGTCTGCGCTGAAATTCTGATCATTTGCATATCTCACCTCCGCTAATGCATGTTGTAAACTTCATGTTATTTGCATGCTTCCTTCAGAGTGTTGCATTAACGGTGGCCAGCATTGTAATTTGCCCAGTTGTTTTTTAGTTAGAAGCGAAGAATAAACAAGAAGTTTTCCATTTCTTCAAAGCATAATCACAATGTAGCATTTCTTTTAATAAAAATGCCATCAAAATGTGTTCATTCAAAGGAAACTTTTGACATACCTGAACATTGCAAGGTAAATATATATATATATATATATATATATATATATATATTTTTAAATCATATTCTTATATCTTACATTATTACAATATTTGAGTAACTGGCAGAAAAATTTTGATTTTAAATAACGAAAATCTGTATTCCGGCACGCAAAGAAACTATATCCATGTATTAATGTACTATATATTTTATATTCGAAAAATATGTAGAAGTGGAAAAAATTTTACGAAAAGAAAAATTATATAGCAGAAAAAATTGCATAACAAAAATATGCACTGAAAATTGAAAAAATATTTGTTAAATAATGTTGTTAACTTCTGTAGAATTATACACAAATCCAACATAAACTTCAGTACAAAAAAATTAATTGGCCAGCTATATCATTATGATAAATAAGTAATATAAAAAAATTAAGTTAATTCCTACTTAGGTCAACGAAGAAAAATTTTATTTTAGTTACTTTTTATTAAATAGTTACAATTAATATAAATATGTATACACATATGGCAGAATCATAATATTAAATGGCAAAAGAGAAAGCGATTTTCCTTGCAGTTCTCCATTTTTCTTTCTATGTATGGTGGTGGACTATTTATTCATTAATTAAATTTAATTATTCCAATAAAATAGTAAAGTTGTAACGAGTATGGTAAAAGATGGACAATAGTACGCACTCTTTTCGAGCACGAGCTGGCGGTAGCCAGCTCGTCGAGGAAAGCGAATGCGAATTTCTGCTTGCGCAAACCTCTCGTTGTTTTTATACTATTAACTGTTTGATATGATTGTAACTGTGATACATTTAAATGTTGATGAGTTGGAATTCGAAAACCATGAATCAAAGACGATTTGAGCTAACCGGCGTAGAAATTCTTCGATTTAAAAAAGAAGTCACATTCTGAGAAATAATGCCATCCCAGGTGGGATTCGAGCCCACGGCCTTTGGATCAGGAGTCCTACCCGCTATTCATTGCGCTACAGGGACACAGCGAACAATTTTCCTTTCTATATATGCTGTTGGAAAATTAATTTGTTTGTTACTATTTATTCATTTTTTAATTTAATTAATGAATTTATATTTGAAAAAATGAGTAACATTAAAGTGTCATGCACTAGAAGTTTTAAAAAATGTATTTGAACTTGAATGGATAAATAGAAAGTATTTTACTAACGGTTGAAAACTTGAAATATATATATATATATATATATATATATATATATATATATATATATATATACAAAATAGTAATTAATGAACATAACAAGAAATAACGTAATAGAAATATAAAAGAAAAGCATGAAGATCCAATTTATAGGAAAGTGCAAAAAAAAGCCTAGCGAGTCAAAAAGCAATTTCGCACTTAGGACCGAATAAGTGGGGTTAAACTAGTTTGAAGGAGACAACCTTGCCCTTTTTCAACTAGGTAGGAAAAACCAAATAAAATAAACAAAAATTTAAAGTGTATAAAAATTCACAGAAAGTATGAGAAAACTGCCAAGAGACTACTATTCTACAAAAATTCTCCTAAAATCTTAAAGCAGAAAAATATTTAAAAAATACCTAAGAAAAGGATTCTTCAAAAAAGAATTTTACAAAAGTTCTACTGACAGATCTTTTTCCAAGAGAGACAAGAGTCTTGAAATTAATGGAAAGCTACTATTCACTGAGTTAAAAATCCAAATTATACATAAACACATCTTTTAAACCAGCAAGCAAAGATAGATACCAAGAGAGATGGCAATCAAATTTTGTAGTCTATGAATTTGTTGGTTGTCAAAAATGTCGAAATTTAGTAGGCTCTAATTTGGTTTGTTGTCAAAAATGTAGAATTTTTTAAGTGTGTAATATACACAGGGAGAGACTGAACTAATAGTAGGAATTGAAAAATGAGACTAAAGATAGTACGTTTAAAAGATTAAAAGCAAATAAATACAATATCTCCCAATTTACGTTTCTCAAAAAAAATGTGCTTATTTTATTATAAATATTCTTATTGTTTATTTAATAAGATTCGTTGAAATTTATTGAAAGCGAATTATGAGGTATAGACTTTTTCAGCATATGTTTTTATTACATTTCTATCAAGTACACAATTTGAATAATACTTATTAATTGAACTAAATAAATATACATTTCAGATAACTCATTTTATTTTAGAGCATTAGAATATAACTACACTTCGAAAAAGCGATAGAAGCAGTGTATACTCATTACTTAATGACCACCTACAAATTATTCACAAACAAATATTTGTAAATATTTGTATTACAAAAATAAGTTTTCATGTCGATTGAAGGAAATATTTCAGTGCTTCCTTTAAGCAAACTTCTTTATTTACGTATTTAAAAATTGTATTTTAACATTTTATACAATGTTTCTATTCAAGAAAATGTTACCAGATGAAAATTTTCATATATTATTCACACAATTTTAAAAATTTAAATTTTTTGAAGAAAATTGGGAAAATTTTAAAATCCAACTCCTTTTGTAAAAATTAATTTTTTGACCTGAAATTTTTTTATAATATTCTTATGGATGTTTTAAACAACTTTAGGGATCGATTTTAGAATAACTTCATTCGTTTTCGAGAAAAAAAATAAAATGTTGATCTACAGGCTAAAAATCAATGAAAAAGCCAACATGTCTTACATTTTATTTTTTTAAAAAAAAGTGTTCAGTTTATAGCAAAACAGATCCCTAATTTTATTATAAGTTTTATTTTTAACACGCTGGAAAAAAATGGAAGTGATTGGTAAATAATTATCGAAGGAGTTACATTTTGAATGCACTAAGGTTTCGAAAAACACAAACTGAGAAAAACCACTTTAAAGTACATAATTCTGAAAAAATAATTATTATAAGCTTAATTTAACTTAAAATACCACTTTAAGATATTACTTATACGTTTTTCTTTAAAATAATTGCATTTTCATATTTTTTCAACCCACACATTTTTATAAATAATCAACTTTTAGAGAGTACTAATTGCACAAGAAAATTCAAGAAAAACTTTAAAAAAAATTTTTTTTTCTGTCACGACAGAAATTTTAGCTGTTTTCCTTCTTATAATATTAAAGTATTACATTTGTATGAAAAATATATCAGGAATAAGAACTAAAATTATAAAATTATTAATATATAAAATGGCTTAATTTAAAAATTTTACATGCACACATTTCACAAGGAAGAAAAATTACATTATTGTATTGCCTCGGAAATATTCTGCTTTTAATACTACACATTCTTTTTTATAGTTATTATTTCTATTTATAAAAAAGATTTTTTTTATCATAACGCAATTTTTAGCTTTTTTTTCTAAAAAGGGGGTGTGGCTGAATTGCCTAATTTGTTTTCAAATGAAGTTTTCTTCAACTTCTAACTTTCCGACATGCACAAGTGATATATCAATCGAAAGATAATAATGCAAAGAATAAGATTAAATGAAAATTAAAAAAAACGATAGGTTTGTGATTTTTAGGGTACCAAGTCCGCTTAAATATAATACAGAATTAAAAATATTTAAAATATTAAAAAATTTATTTTTAATGCTTCAAATAACTCTAACAATTTTTTTTTCATCTAGTAATAAAAATTTGAAAGGTAAATCAAGCAATTGCTTTAAGAAACACGAATTTTTATTTAATAGTTATTTAATTTGAAGCAATGTACAGTAGAACCTGTTTTTGTGCGATTTTATTTTTGTACGCTATTTTTGTGCGTTATTTTTTTATGCGATGTTTCAAAGATTTGGGCGTCACTGTAATGTTTTCTATCAGTGTACATCAGTGCTTCTCAAACTTTCAATACTAGCGCCCCCCTTTTCGATCACAATTTTTATCGCCTCCCCCTTGTACATTAATAATGTACTGAATGCAATAATAATGCACTTTGACGCTGAAGCTACAATAGGCGATCTTAATTATAAACCATACAAATTAGTAACATAAGTATTAAAATTTTGTATACTACTTTTAAACAAAAAATAAATAAATAAAATAATAGGATAATTATTATGTTATTTTTCCTTTCTCTAATTTTTAAATTGAACATACTGCAAAATGCGGAAGACAAAATATAGATATCTGCTAAATATAGAAAAAGAACTCAGAGGGTGAATTTCTAATCATAAGCATTTTCCTTATAAAAACTTTGCTTTGCAAGACAAGCTCATGGAAGTCGTTAATACTTATTAAACTTGCTCTTAATTTAGTATTAATTAATTAGTTATAAAATACTCTGTGCAGCCCTGATACATTAAAAGTATACCGGCTGAAGTGCCCGCTCTTTGCATGAGTTCATTTACAAGAAAATAAAACATTATTGATATAATAGCTGAATTGTAAGGAGTGCAAAGCCAAATGCTCGACAATGTTTACAAAAATGTAAAACGATTTTTTTAAAATGGTTGCTCAAATTATAAATAGTTTTAAGCGAATGGTAATTTTAAGCCTCACAGAATTAGCATTTATAATTGATGTTAAATAATGAACAATATTATAAAATTCCGATGAAGAATAACTGTATTATTTTTAATATTTAAAGCGAAAAGACTTCAGCATGTTTTTGTGGTCCGTCGCCAAAAGCCCTCGTGTAGTTGAACAGTGCGACGTTAATATTCAATCAATCAATCAATCAATCAACATGTTTTAACCGGAAGCAGGCGTGCACTCCATACGGTCGAGCGGGGTTATTGAGTCACACTAATCCATTTATATATATATATATATATATATATATATATATATATATATATATATATATATATATAATTATTTTATTGTACACGATACAAATAGTGATTCCAGTGACTAATTTAATTAAGAGAAAGTTTACTTACCCCTACTTTCAAGGACTTTTCAATTTTTCTTTGGTAACAAATAAGCAGTTTTGCCAGAATTAACGATTTCGTAATTTGTGCGTCCCGCGCGATCACTCCCGCTTAAAAAGTGTATTCATTATGATTATATGAAATTGTGTAAAACGTTTTTCGCGTTATGCTGTATATGTATAGAATATTCGTAAAAATAAATCTTGGCCAAGTAATTCTTCGAAGTGTGTGTGCTCTCCATGATTTTCCAAATATCATAAAACTCTTTTGCATGGAAAAAAGCGTAACAGAGAAATGCATTACTTACAACTTCCCTAAATGAGAAACAAACACATAAGAGAGGGGTCATAACTAACTGTACCAATAACTTAGAAGGTTAAACAGATTACAGCTATAATGTGCAGTATTTCAAAAATAATGACAGTGATGAATTTTTTATGTTCCTAAATTTTTTCGATTCTGCGTCTGGTATCTGTTTTTTCTCTGAAAGAGTTGTATGTTAGGTTTAAACAGAAAGCGTAATAAAAAAAAATCTCTCATCATGGGATTACAGCAAATAAAATAAAAGTTTTTTAATTTGGTTATAGAATCAAAGGTAGCTAATTAGGTATTAAAGAAGTTTTTATTTTTGCTGAATTAATATCGCGTGCGCGCGCCTACAGATTATATCAGAGTAAAAGTGCATTTTTTATTATGTCTGAAAGTATTTTGTTTTAATTCATTCCAGTATAAATTAATTATTTTGAAATCTTTTATTTCGATATGCTCGCGTCCCCCTCGTAGGGTTATTGCACCCTCCCAGGGGGCGCGCCCCACAGTTTGAGAAACACTGGTGTACATATATAAACTTCAAGAAGCTCTGTTCATTGGTTATAAACTTTATATCTCGACAATGCACATTCCATTGCTTTCTTGCAACGCAATAGCGGCACGCACTTGATTGAAGACGAAACTTTCAATGATAGTAATATTATCAATAATTTGATAGATTAGGAAGACGGACATGAAGAACCGGATTATTTGAGAGCGGATACAATATGTGATGGGATTCAGCTATCCAACAAATTGGAAAAGCATTTTCTTAAAATAGATATCAATTTCGAAAGGAGTTTGAAATTCCAAAAAGAGCTTCGATCATGCATATATGTTCATCGTG